TAAAATGAAAAGATATACTTCTTTAAAGGCACAGAACAAAAACAAAAATAAAAAGCAAAAAAAGGGGAAAAAAAGCAAAAAACCCAGACCAAAAAATCAATGAATATAATGTAGTTGTTAAAATTGTAGATACTTATCAACGTGTACTGATAAAGACCTCCAATGTCCATAGTTTAATTATTTCAAATTAAAGTCAAAGATATTCACAGTGAAGTACAGGCAAAAAAAATCCATTTTATCTACAAAAACTCATGCAAAATATGGAGATGGACAATGATATACTATGTGAACACTAATCACGAGCATACTAGAGAGTTATATTAAAGCCAGGGAAAGCAAACTTCAGAGTGACACAAAGTATCTGGCAAAAAAGATGACCATAAACTAATGAGAGAGGAACAATTCTCTGTGAGGATGTAACTGTCCTAAGTATGCATAAGCTATAAAAGTCAAAATACTAAATACAACTATGGATACAAGTGCAAAGAGAAATAGAAAATAACAGTGTTTCATCTGGCAAATGCGATACCTGCTAAACAAACACTGACAGACCCAGAAGGCAAGCAATCATTGGAGGCTGAAAAACAAGAAGAATCACTCTGAGTCCAATCTGAGTACTGAGATCCTATAGACCCTCTATTAAATACATAAAAAAAGAAATCACTAGGATGCAGCTAAACACAAAAAGTATAAAAGGTGATACCCTCGTTATAGATCCTTATATATTAAAGGATAGCAAAAGGATATTATCAAAACCCACCTAGCCCTAAGTTCCAATACAGCAATTAAAGACAACAAAAAGAATATTCAGTTGAACATTTGGTTGGGGTGTCACTCCTTACACACAGTGCCCAAAGCAGAACTCATGATGAAAGAACAATTCAGTTGGTTTTGCTAAAAGTGACTTCTGCTCTGTATACACTGTTAAAATGATTGAAAGATAAGCCACACAGTGTAAAAAAAACTACTGGCAAAACACATCACTAAAAAAAAAAAAAAATTACTAATGCTACACAAAGACATAGTTCTTTGACAAATTGGGAAAGGGAACTAGATGAAGAAGTACAGCAAACAGTTGGGGCACTACCTCTGAGGATCTCTGACAAAACTCATAGAATTTAAACACAGAGAGTACACCATAACAAAACTATGGTTCTTTTATTAATAAAAATTTTTGACTAACTGGTTGAACAGTCATGGT